TCAACCACTTTGTACCAAATTAAGGGCCCTCTCTACCAGCTGGTTAATCTACCAGCTCATCCACAGCCCTTTTTCAAGGTTCAAAATCTGCAGGTGTCTCTTAATAAAAATAAAAAAAACACTTCCCTCTAGCTCAGTTTTAAGTGACCGTTCAGTTTACATCACAAATATAGGACACTACTTCAAAGTCCATCCATGTATATTTTGTACCAACATATTTCATTTCACAGCTTTCTTTTCGTTTGTGAATTTTTCATCAAGGGCAAGAGGGTTGGTTGAATTCTTTTGTACTATTATTCCAATAATTGTTACCTATCAGTAGAGGGTGTTTATATTTTTCTTGTTTGGCCAACTAAAAAAACAGTACTTTAGATTCGAATCTAGGACAAATTCTTGAAACTATATTGGACTGATTGCATAGGACAATAAAATAGTCATTTTCGGTAACTCAAAAAAAGATAAAGATAAATGGATTGGATTGTTTATTTACAGATGGAATATGAAGAGAATTGTCTTGAAATTCAAATTATGGAGGGGACAAATTTCTTGGCGTTCCAATTGAGTCACATCAGTACGCACAAAGATTGCAAGTAAATTGTACCTCTAGTCGGTCATGTTCAACGTCACCCCAAAAAAGACAGGAAAACTTACTTGTAATGGGTTTTGCTATCTCCGACCAATAACACAATAACACGTGAAAAAATTACCTCACGTTTGATTGTGTTATTGGCTGGAAATTGCAAAAAATGTTATCTCCGTTGCATGAAAGTTTTTCTCCAAAAAGAAGCTACGAGTCTTTTAAGAAAGAGGAAAAAAAAGTTGTCAAAATATGTAGGGTTTATTTGGTCATTCAAGGAGAACACACACAAGGGAAAAAAGAAAAAGAAAAAGACCACATACCAAATCCCATTGGCTTCCATCTGCAGTATATTAATAAAATTCAGTTTGCCTTAAAATTGGGAAAATGGAAACAGTCTAAAGTTAAATTTCATGTGAGCTTGGTTGAATTGAATGATTTTTTTAAAGTCTTTCTGTTCTCAATCAAAATCTTTCTCGTTTTGTGCACCAAACTTGCTCTGGATCTTGACAGCAAGCAATCTTAATTGTAGATTGACCCAAAATTCACTGCAATCTTAATTGTCAAGTAATCACCTTACTTAAGTTTTCAATTGCCAAAAAGGCATATAAATGATCACCACCACCACCAGGTACGTGGGGTGGGTGGCTAGAAATTCCACCTGTCAAAATGAAAAAACAGGCTGATGAATATACTCCAGTATTTCAATTTTGTACATGAGTATATACGTCCATAAAATCCATACAAAATCAAGCCATTGTTTCGACTGTAAATTTGCAAATATTTAGAGAGGGACAAGGCAAGTTGGAGAATCTAATGGCCATGCACGGTGCTTAATGGGCCATAATGTGTCACCGCCAATGCAAGCAGGCAGTATTCACAAGAACAAATTATGTTAAGGGTTCAATCCAGCCGTTTTAAATATTTTCATCGATCGAATGACTATCGTTGACCTACTTACTCGTTACAACCCCTCATCACCTACTCATTACAACTCATCATTATAATTTATGACCTTACTCTAAGAAAGGGTTCTTAAATAGGTATACAAAATTTAGATAGTTCGTATATAATCATTGAATCACATTGCTGAGTGACCCGTATAAAGAAAACTTAGTAAAATCTGTGTGCATATAGCTTCCACTAAGGGATTCCTAAAATAAGTTTATTTGAGTGACACTCTTGTAGAGAATAGTCCGTATTGTATTTCACTAATCCAAACCGTCAATTTTGTAGATATTCATTCAAAGACAATCTTTATAAAAAAAAAATTACTTGAATCCAATATCATTTGACTACTCAATTGAATTATTCAAATTTTAGTACTTTCTTGAAGCACTGTGTTCATTAATTTTGTGTGACACAATTAGATGTCTAAATGGTTTCCGATTTGTCTAATTTTTTGCAAAGATGATCTATTAATGAAAACCTAAAAAATAGATAGTTTGGATTATTGAAAAAAATATACGTAGGATACCCTAAAAAGTGTCCATGAAATAAAATTAGGGAGATTCACTAATATACCCAATATAGGGGCTCAAATTATAAAAATACCCTATATGAAATGAACTTTATAAACACACCCAAAACCCATTTACAACATGACAAAGAGGCCTTAACTTCTTATAAATTACAAAACTACCATAAATTTCTTAAAACAAGCTCAACCTCAAAATCTCATAAAAATACCCAAAACACTCAATAGGGCATTAAAGTAATTTAATAATCAATATTAAATTCAATAAGGCCAGCTATCATTTTTGGGGTTTTTTTTGGGTTTGTTTATAGAAATTCAATGATAGAGGGTTTATCTATAATATTAGTGCTAAGAATGGGTATATCACGAAATATTTCATAAAATTATTTGAGGGATCCCTTAATGAAAGGAGACTACATATATATATTTATAGAAATTCTCCAATGTGGAGAGCTTGGAACTCATAACTTCCCCAGAAATGCACATTGATCATGAACAATGACTTCTGTTTGCTCGTAAAAGAGCTTCAAACCCAATCATGCATAGAAAAAAACAAAATAAGTGTAATGTCAACAATGCTTTTGCGAGAGAGGCCGAGTAAAAGAGAAAAAGAGAAGAAAAAAATAAAATAAGATAAAAAACCCTCCCGTGTGGCAAAAGGTAAAATGAAGGAGCTAAAAACCAAAGGTGGCTGTGTTGGTGGGTTGGTTAGAGGACAAAACTCAAAATGATTTGTACTGTCTCCATCTCTACAGCTCTTTTCCAACATTGCAAATAAAGTCGGCAAATATGACTCTGAATCTGAATCCCTTCTCTGCCCAGGTCCTCTGTTTATGGCAGTGAAGGACTAACTGACACAAGGTCATACACAAAATAATAAAAATAAAATAAATAATGTAAAAAAAATCTCTCTGTCCTCAGGTTTTTGGCTATCCAATTTGGCTCAGTGGTCCTCAGCTTTTTCAAAGAGAGACACCAAATTTGAAGCTCATCATCAGCAGCATGTGCCAAATCAGTTCAATGATAGCATGCAAGCCAGGGCCTCCCAAAATGCTAATTTGGGCAGAAAACCAGAGAGCCTCACATGTTCACATCACTTTATTATGGAGATGAACTTGTGAACTGGCATCTGTCAAAATGGCTTTGAGGTCATCATGATCATCATCATCGCCATCTTTCATCATCCATCATCCATTCCTTACTAGGGTTTCTGATCAGCCAGATATTTTGTCCTCCTAAGTTGGGTCTAAATCAACTGGACTTGACCGTTCCACGTTTCAGAGCCTCCGTTCCACGTTTCAGAGCCTCAGGATCTGAGGTTGGTCCAAGGTCCATGGTAGATAGATATTACAAGCACCAAATGGTCAAGTATAATTCTGACACCCACAACATGCCCATACAACTAAATTTGGCTAGGGATTCGAATGCAGACGTGAAATTATGACAGGCACACAATAAATTATCCAACTGGAAATTTGGTTATCAACAGAATTTCTGAAATCACAAAAAAATTTTAGTCTACAATGTCACAAAATACAAGTTGGCTCCAAACAAATTATCTTCTTTACCATGGAAATTGACAATGACCTTTTTTACCTTGAGGGTTTTAGTTTCTTGTGTGCGTGGTGATTAAATAGATAACCCACTTGATGTTTTTTCAAGTTCTATCAATCATACAAGTGATGGGAGAAAGTTTGAAAGCCTAATAATGTTGACTAGGTAGAAGGTAAAAGTAAAACATATCTTTCAACTTGTTCCACATCTTCTATCCATTTGTAGCCAATCCAGGCACATGCTTTCAATCTCACAAGGCATCAAGAAGAACCTGTTCCTGCCTTGGACCACTTGTTCAGATAAAAAGAAGAAAAAAGTTTGTGTTAGTTTTTCATAAAAGCCGGTGTTTATGGATTCAAACAACAATCATGGAGAAGGAAAAATCAAAAGCACACATGTAGGTGACCCACAAACTGAAAAGATCCAACTACATTTCCATATTGTACACAGAACAATCTCATGGTCTCAAAGGAAAAGACCGTGATTTCAATGATTAAAATCCATGGTAGGACCGTTCTCTTCTCTCAAGTAGCGGTTGAGTTACATAACCTAAATAAGTTCAATAAACTAGCATTCAAGACAAGGGCCATCCTCATGGCAACAGAACAAAAATATAAGACAATGAATTGAATTTCAAAACACATTTTAAATTTCATCAACAGGCACAACACTTGGAAGTAGGACCGACAAAACATGAAAATAAGAATATATAATGGCCAGGTTAGGAAGGGAAATGAGGGGGGAAATGGGTCCTAAAAGAGGATTTATGCCTTCTTCAAAAGTAAGCTCCTTTCACTTCCCTTTGGGGTAACAGGTTATATTCCACTTCTTATCCCACCATTTCCATCTTGGATGCATGCTACTGCAATTATGCAATCACCAAACTATAACAATAATTGTCAGCACTAATCTTCCAAGTTTTTGGTTGATTTCTTGTTCAAAGAAATGAATAGCAGTCAATCAATCAGTCAATCAACTAGACCCGATCGAATAAATCTTATCACAAAAATAATTAAAGCACATACTTTGTAGACGATTGAGCAAACTAACTGTTATTTTCCTCTAAACAGAGTTTTTTGATTCTGAGACGAGCTAAATTCCAATGCAGTTGAATCACAGAAATACAGAGCTTAATACATTTGGAGAAATACAGTACTCAATAGATCCAGTGAAAGAATAGTGGGAACCAGTGAAGCATGGAAAATACCACAGAAGAAGCACAGAATTTGCCAGCATATATTTCATCAGCTGAACTCAATAAAATTCTCAGTACATCTGGATGCTACTGCTACTGCCCCTTGCATAGAGTTGCGGAGGAAATCTCCTCTACATGGTGCAAGAATATCTTTACGTTCATCTACTTTCCACAATCAAAATGACGTTAATGGACGATCAATCCAGCCGTGCAGCACAGAAAATAAAATAATCGTCGACAGCTAAACCAGTTCCATATCCAACGGGGGTCATCACAAAGGAAAAGGAGTAGAAATTATTTTCACCACATTGCCTTCGAGTCAGAACTGCGGTCAAATAAAACAGATTTCTGACAGCAGCAGATTTCCACAGGAGATCGTCAATATTCAGGCTGCTCCAGTCAGGGAAAGTCCTAAAATTTACAGTTAAAAGCCATCCATCCAGTCAGCAGTCATTCAATTGTATAGAACCTAATTTTTTGTACAGCATGTAAAGTGCATAAGGGAACAAAATACTCATAATCAGCCAAAGAGAGAGAACTGATTGACACCAGGTACCAGTCAGGGTAAAGCATGCCCTCACTGCCATAAAGCAATTGGCAAGACTGATATAGTTCAAAGAAGGAATACCAGACGGTAGTGGGATTCTAAATTACAGTTTTTGGGCTCGTTTTACTGATCTAAGTGACTTTTTTAACATCATCCCAGCAGTAATATATTTTGTAATTTCCATTTGCAATTTTTAAATCCAATCAATACAGACTGAACAGAAAATTACCGCACCCCCAGCCCAAATTTACATTCCTACAAGTTTTACACCTTTAAATGCTAACCAACCCATCCTAAAGTTCCCTTAAGCAACTGCTGTCAAGAATTTCCGTAGTCACTTTTTCTACTACATCACCCAGTGAACTCGGCTAATTTGCCCCTTATTCCCTCCATACATTTTCATTCGTAATCATGACATATTAGGTCTCAAGCCCCTACCCCAGGGGCATAACATTCAAGTCCCAGAGGCATAAACAAACTACATGATATTTTTTCTTTGGGGTGGGGGAGCTGGGGAGAAAGAAAATACAAAAATTGATCACTGTCAAATTGCGACAAGAGATTGAAAGAGAATGTGATATTTCTTTAGGCAGTGTGGGTTTCTTATTATCAAATGGAAGCTTCATTGAAAGTCTGTGTTGTCCTCGCATTTTTAACTTGTTTAGTGGGGCTTTTGCTTGGGTAGAAATGGGGCTGGTTTCTCATAATAAAAAGATGAAGAGTCCAAATGGGTTGTCAACTTTCTATATCACAATAGATGCAAAAATGACTTCTTTATCCACAAATCCCATGCCTTACAATTGTTTGAGTAATGAAGACACAACCCGCAAAATTATAGTACTGGTATGGGAGTTGCCATACAAGTAATGTGTAGGAGCCTTCAAAATTATGGGGAGGATGACAAGCAACGCATATGAAAGGCAATAAATCCATTGTTTCTCTTCTTTTTTCCTTACTTTTTTTTCTTTTTTTTTCGGTTATAAAAAACAAGGAGGCTGATCTGCTGCTTTCTATTTGCAAGGAACATTACCAAGTACTCCAGATTGGAAAAATAAATAAGCCGGAGCTATAGACAGTAGAATTTGCATGCTTTTATATTAGCGAATACATTGAACTTGAACAACTTGATAATTTTTACCTACAGTTTTGATATGGTCTGCATAGCCACGCCTCATTAGGATATAGAACTAGAAAGGGACTGAACCTGAATCTCTTTTAAGTTTTACCTTTACCATTTTGATATGATCTGTTATTTTATAACAATGGTACCACATGCAGTCCAACTAGTGTTGCTATAAGGTGAAAGTAAGAGAGTGAACCCTCCCTCCCTAAACTCATTCAAAAGCTTGGGTAGAAAAATTGGCCAACTTGATACAAGGTTCTATAAACAGGTCAAACTGAACTAGATACAAGGGTGCTATACATATAAATATTGTCGTTGCGCTGCCATGGAAGTGGCTCTAATACTACCACTGCCATCAATGCCAGCGTCGATACCAATGTCACCAACAGAACTATGTCATTATCAACACTGAAAACAGAACCATGCTGGAAATAAACATTGACATAGGCACCACCACCCTCATACCACAATACTTGCAACCATCACAACCACTGTATCACAACTATCACCATTGTCATGCAGTCATGCACCATCATTATTAAGCCCAGCCCACTAGTATTGCCATGACCACCACTACTGAACTAGCATTGCCAACCTAACCATGCTGGAAATAGACATTGACACAGGCACCACCAGCACCACAGAACCTTTACTACCTCCATCACTAACATCACCACCACCATATCACCAAACATGTATTCAAAAACATCTCACAAACTGGACTTTTCATTAGAATGCCTCACTAAAATTATTAACCAAAATTTTTGCTTAACTTCTATTATTCTAGTTCTAAAATTTATGCATTTGTAATGTTACTCAGTAGTAACAATTCGAAATTCCATAATCATCAATACCACCATCATTGCTAATAACCCCATGTCACTAAACCTTTTATTCAGTAGTATGTACCCAGTTTAAGTTTTATCAAGAAAGATCACTAAATATTTTTGAACTATAACCAAATTTGTTAACTTTTAGCTCCAAAATTTTAGCACTATCAACTCAATGTTCAACGTTATACCATTTTCTGGATGCATCGAACTTTGAAGAAAGCTCCAATCTTGCCAGTAAATCATGATCTCCAATTCCAAACTCATTCAAGTAAATGTCTAATTGCACATCGAATATTGACTCTTATTAATAAATGAACAAAACTTGCGGGAACATTCAGCGTTCATACCTTAAAACCTGAGGAAGCGAAACGCAACGAGACCCTCAAACATGCCCAAACACGCCCCAGCGCAAACGTCGGTGACGAAATGCCTGCCCAGCACAATCCTAGAGAAGGAGGTGGCGTAGGCCCAGGTCCAAGCAACCAAGACCAAAACACTAATGGCGCTGACCGGGTCCGCGCCGATCCAGCGGTCAATGAACGGAGACGTTGGCCGGAGGAGCGCGAGGGCATCGGCGAGGGCTGAGGCGGAGAGGTGGAGAAGGGCGGCGACGAAGCAGACCCTGGAGGCGTGTCCGCTGGGGAAGGAGAAGTGGTCGACCGAAACGGCGACGTTCATGTTCTTGTTGTAGAGAGGGCGGGAGCGGCGGAAGAGGAGCTTGATTAGGCCGATGAGGGCGAGGTCGAGGAGGAGGCCGAGGATGAGCGGGGAGAGGAGAGGGCGGAGGATTTGAATTGGGCTTAGGCTTGCGCCTGGGCCTGGGATTTGGATTGGGGATGGGGTTAGGGTTAGGGTTGGGGCGACGAGGAGGGAGAGGGAGAGGGGAAAGAAGAAGCGGAAGTCGGCGGAGATTTCGAGGAGGAGGAGGATGAAGTGGGGAAGGGAAGGTTTGGCGAGGACATGGAGACGTTGGGAAAGCGTCGTGTCGAGAGTTACTAAGCGGCGGAGGAGTGGCGGCCGAGGCGGCGGCGGCGGCGGCGGTGTGGTGGTGCTCTTGGATTTGAGTGGTGGCGATGGCTCCATTGCTGTAGTCTCAGTCAGTGTGTGAGATGGAAGGCCGTTGGGTTTTGACAGTTGAGAACAAACCAACGGTTAGTTAAAGGTAGAGTTTGGCGGCCCAGATATGGATTTAAAGAAGGTTATTTTCTGAATTCATGGCCCACAGAAAAACATTGGGTGACTGAAAAATAATTTTTACAAATAAACATTGGGTTTGAGGTGCTGGAACATTGGCCCAGTATTAGCGGGTTGGGTTTGGGATGGCTTTCTATTGGCCCGCCATTCCAAGCCAAGAGTTGAACCTTGTGGCTCGAGCGAAGGCTCTGGGTCACAGAGTTTCTAAAGCGGAGGGAACCGCATAAGGTAGGCTTCACAAAGTAACAACTACCTCCCGCTCTCGGCCGTGGAAGGATTACGGATCAGTCACTTGGATCCACCATAACCCGCTAGATTGTCTCAATTGAACCAAAATCTTTTACAAGTAACCAATAGGGTCCAGTTCAATTGAAATGATATTGACTTGTAGACTAATAGTCTCAGTTTCGAACCTCAGTCCGTGATAGCTTAGTAGCATGTGTGTGTGTGAGAGAGAAATCACACTTCCCCTTATAATTTAGACTATCGCTTGTATTAAAAAACAAAAAACAAAGAACCAACTAGTTATTGATTTAATGATATTTATTCACATAACATTAGCACTCTCTTAAATAAAGTTATAGTCAATCATGAATGATTGTTGTCTCATTAATGAAACGTGGATTGGGTCATTTGACCTTATCTTGGTATGGCTAACTTTAATTTGTTTCGATTAGGCACTTAACTCGTTAAAACTAATTGAATCAAACTGACATACTCGATTTAGTACGGTTTTTTGTTGTTGTCAAAATCGATGATAAACCGAACTAATTCTCTCATCGATTTTGAAAATTCAAAATTAGGCGAGTTTATCAAACCAAAGAGCCTCTAATATACGGCGGTTCAATGTCGGTTTCCCAAGATCACTTGCTTATTCGACCCCGGTTTCATTTTTCCATGGCAAGGCCCATGGTCACAACATGGACCAAAATCTTGACCAGGCCACTGATGATCCATCTGGAGTCCATAGGCCAATATTACTGCTGCCAGCCCGTGCACTCGTAGGATTTTGCATTTTTGAAAGACATCGGAAAAAATGCAAGACACCAGGAAAACTGGTAATGAAATTATAAGTTCCATAGTAGGAGAAAGATGCAATTATACTTTTGTCATCGTGAAGAAGGAACCAATTCAAATTATTTATCAATTGGGATAAAACAATACAAAAAATGAATCAATAATGGTTAGGATTTTGGAAGATTAATAGTTTTAAAATCTATGGCATGATAATTTCACCCTAGTTATGGAGAACTGGAGAAGCTGATAGGCCAAAAGTGACCTTAAAATATGGAAAAATTGCAGCACATAGAATTCTATAAAGGTTAATTATTGAGCTTTAATCATGTGCAGTACCTATTCGGATGTCTACACGTTGTTATCATGCGGATGCTATTATAAAGAGGCAGGAAATGAAGAATGGGTAGTACAAAATACATGACAGTCGTACGATAATAACATCCAAATATTCGCATAGAATAATTTATATATATGCGCCCATGTTAATGCTATAGTCCCTATGGTTATGGAAGTCTGCAAATTGGCCATCTTCTTTTTCCAATTGGACTTTGACTTGAAACCTATTATTCTATTTTAGACTTCAACTAAAAACAATGTTATAGCTGGATGGCATAATGTCTCGTTAGGCTTTTAGCAAATGTTTAAATATACACATAATTTGTATGCACACAAAATCGTGCAATGAACATTATTCGTAGGTTTTTTTATTTTATTTCTGGCTTCATAGTAATGGCCTTTGAAGCCAATGATTGTCCATCGAATGATTCTGAGTCTTTGAGAAAGGACACTTCCTCACTTTGAATATGGGAGCAACAAACAAGAGAGGCAAAATTCAGGGAGAATTTAATCATCTTAAAACCTAAACTAGAGAAGACTAGCGCTAGCTCATCCTTATTTGTACGCTACTTCATGCGAGTGCAAATAATATAAAATTCTAAGGACACCAATTCATATATATTATACTATTTTAAATTCCAGATGATATAACATCATTTCATTTTTGTTTATATTTGAGCTCACTTTGAACCTCATTTATTCACGCCGAGTGAGCAACTCCCATGTTATGTCCCATATCCCAAATATACGTTATTATTTGCAATAGCTCATTAACAGTGTACGAGGTTCTTGGGTGAGTAGAAATACAACACTCACCAACTTAACCAATCAACCATACTACTAGAAAACAAGTACCCAAGAGAAGAATCCTCAGTCATATTCAACAAGTTGAATCTTTTACAAGTGATAGGTAGGTCATGAGTGAGTACGTAAGGCCAAGTCCATGTCCATACAAGATTGGCAAGCTGAGGCCATTTTCAAGGCTCACGGGCAAGTCTTTGTCTAGATCTCAACCATCAGAAAAATCCAACACATTGGCAATGGAAGGCAGATCAAAGGTGCATATCAAGGAAGTTAAATCTCCAACAGCAGGCCATAGACAGGACCACCAAATTCTGGGTCCAAACCAAACCCTCTCTCTCTCTCTCTCTCTCTCTCTCTCTGTGCCATCCTTAATTACCGACAATGCTTACTGATCATATTTCATCCATTTCTCAAAGCTCTTGTTGGCTCTAGGGCAGCCCAACTCCAAGCCAAAATGTTGCATTTGTTTGATTCAATAATGATCCGAGAATCACTCTCCACCCGACATTGTGTAGTTGTGAACCTGCTTCATCATCATCATCATCCTGGCCTTACCCACTGTCCTAATTTTTATCATTTTGAATTCTAGATTAGTTAAATAAAACTTCTGATTGGTTTAGGCGAAGCAATTATAACCTGCATCATGGCAAAATATATAGCCTAATACATAATGATTGAAGTGATCAAAAGATTGTGAGTGGGGTGAGGTGGGTCAAATGCACTAAGAAGTGTCTAGTGTACATTTGGATATAAGAAATAGGATGCCAATGGGACAAGTCCCATTCCCAAGCTGCATTGATGGGAGATTTAAATGATGTTCGAGATCAAGGTGTATAAGAATTTGTGCATGTATTAAATAAAGCAAGGAGAGATTCAGGAGAGATGGGTTTTTTTTAATCTCCAAAACCACAACATCGCATTGATGTTTCCATGACCCAAAGTTTGGTCAAAAGATATGCCATTAAAACCCTTAATTAGGGTTAGAGAAAGGCACACCTCCCTTTGAAAAGCCAAGGTCTTCCCTTTTCCTTTTATTATTTTCTTTTGCTCTCATCATTGCTTCTTTCTCCATAGAACTCTCTTTGCTTCCTCTTGTTGATAACTCTCCATAAATTGTGTCACCTACCTCAATACCTTGCTTAGCTTTGTAGTAAGAAGAAGCTTTTATGTTTTTTTTTTCTTGCTTATTAAACAAAAGGACTCAACCATATAAAACCCTAAAATGTGTGTTTTTTTAAAGAAAAAAGTATTACAAAGAAAATTTGCGACGGATCTAAAGACCATGCGAATCAAAGTTAACTCTTTAACTAATATCCACGCGAAGAAGATTCACGACGGATTTGAAACCAAATAGGATGTGAAGACCCTATCAGTATAATTTCCCTTATTGACTAAGGAATCTACTATCATATTAACTTCCCGATAAATATGCTGAAAAAATAAAACAACTAAAATCTAAACTTAAAAAATTGCGAAGCGAAAAAACAAAAAAAAAAAAAAAAAAAAAAAGGAATGGATGGATAAATTGGAGGTCCAACTCCAAACCAAATACAGCACGCTTTGGATATAACGCAGTTCCCGGGGATGGCTTCAAAACAGGCGTGAGAGCAAAGGCTGTCAAAACTCCACAACCATATGGTTTGCTTTTTGCACTCCTAAACCATGCACTTCTTTTAACTAATAACACCATACAGAATCTCATAATCACCATATCATAAAAAGCACAAAGAAGATGAGTTTAATTTGAATTTGGCCCATTTTGCCCAAATGGGTCGTCCATAATTCACGATTTCTCAAGGTTTTTGGACCATTTGGTGTTTGGGATGCCTTAATTTAATCATGTTTTAGTTGATTAAGCTTTGATTATCTCAGTAAAATTGTCTCCTTGTGTAGCTACAAAAGGCCATTATCCCAATGAGCACAAAACTTTGTGCAAAACCCCAACTTAATTAGTGCCTAATTTGCCAACGGGTTAGCTATAGCTACAGTACAAAAAAGATAAATAAATAAATAACTTGTGGAGAAGTTGTCGTTTTACTAGTTTAAATTTCAGGGCTTTTTTAGATACACTCTCTGCCAGTTTCCATTCTCTTTCTAGTTTCTATTCTTCTATTCTATTCCCACCTATATTTATCTATCCCACTTCAAACTCCTATAAAAGATTCCACCTCATTCTGTCCCCCTTACCCTTTTTACAATATGGAATTTGGAAAATATATTAAAATGATACAATAATCTCTTTGCAACTTGCATCTTCAAATCAATGATCAATTATAATTTAAAAAAATTTGTACTCTATATATATATATATATATATATATATACCATGCCAACTATGAGTATCCTTAATTAACATTTTATACAAGCGATAATCTATTTTAAATTAATCTAAATTACAAATAGAGGGATTCAAACTCGGGTTGGAAAGTGGGGAGCACATCTGCTAATCAACTTGGCTATGTCCATATCTGCATATATGGCATAAATTAATCCTTCAATCAAGCGCTCTAGTTATAATTCTTGAAACAGTACAAGATTTATTTTATTTTTTGTCCTGATGAGCCCTTTGTCTGCAAGTGTAAATAGGGGGAGAAAAAACCAAGGGAAGGAAAATTTAGGGTTCAGAAACCCCACCAAGAAATGTGAAATGGTTATTATTTCTTTGATTTTCAAGGTGCAAGAAAGTCATAAAGCTATCTGAGGGTTAGATATGTCAGAGCAAGAAAGCCTTTATTAGAAAAGGACTAGACTAGATTAGGTACTTACCAACTAAATGTATATTTTCAATTGAATGCAAATAAAGTCCCTGTTTCTGGGGATCAGTTGGGTCATTGATACTAATTAACTTGATGGGTTTGCAACTGATTATCATCCACTTCTTTATTAGTGACTCTAATTCAAATTTCAGAAGGAAAGAGAAAAAAGAAGAAATATATTTTGCTTTTACCAAAGGTTTAGATTTGAGTAGTAGTTTCTTTCAAGGTCATCATTGTAGTATAGCAGTCTAGTGCACTGCATTTCAATTTTCAAAATCATGGAGAGAGAGAGAGGGCAAAAAAGATGGGAAAATAGAGAGGTTTTTGAATTGTTTTTTACCCATCCACATTTCGACTTCAACAAACTGGTACTAAATCAGGTATCATATTCGTATTCATGTGAGTCGAATAGAAGACTTACTTCAACTAGGTGGACAAAATTACCATTAGTTTAGACACTGATGATGAAACAAAAATAAAAGTTGAATCCGATACAATGTGATTAGAAATGAGCAAACAACACATTTAAATGTTTTCAAACGGCAAAAAATAAAAGCACTTAATTAGGTTTTAAACCTCTCATTCCACAAGTAAGCTAAATAAAAAGCAATAAATTATGAAAAAAGAAGAAAAAGAATCGAGATCATGAGGAAGAAGATGACCAAATGTAACCCCAACCAAATGCAAAGCTAATTAATCATGTATGTACGTCCACCAAACTCCCGTCTCCCACATAAAATTCAAATACCACAAGAAGCAGAGTAACCGGACACATCTCTCTCGACCTCCCTGTTTTGTCCCATCAAATTAAACCCATTTATGGTGGCATTTGTTTTCTTTGAGCAGCATGCTTCCTCTCTCATGAAGAGACTGAGAAATCCACGTGGGTAATTCCAAAATCCTCAGAAGGGTAGTCCAGTCATTTCACACCCGGTCACGTATCCGGTTGAAAGTTAGAAACCCCCCTCCTCCCATTTAATAAACGCGCCATATCTCTCTCCTCCTCCTCCATTTCATTCTTTTCTTTTCTCCCAAGACAAATGAAGAAAACCAGAAACAGAGAAGAAAAAGAAGAAGAAGAAAAAGAAAGCTGAGCTCTGAACAAACAAACCCATTCAAACCCTAACCCAGAAAACACCGCACGGTGTCGTTTTGAGTTCCGTACAATAATGGCGAGTGGGTGGGTGAAGTCGTTGCAGTGCAAATCCAGAGCATTCGAAGACGTTTACCACCCGACCCCGAAAAATCTCATGAACAGCGCGAGTTGCAGACAAAGCGTTCAGAATATCAAAGACGTCATCGACACCACAAAACACTACAAGCCCAGAAAGCTCAAGCCGCCGCCTCCGGGCCCACCACCTCCGCCATCCAAACGACCCAACCCAAAATCCCAACGACCCACCAAACCGGAACCCGATTCAAGCCCGGGTCAGCAAACCCGAACCCGACCCACGAGACCCCACGACCCGTTTCTGCCGGCCCTGACCGAGCTCCCGGAGGGCCACCCTTCGCGCAACGTCGTGGAGATTATCTTCCACACCAGCTGGAGCCCCAAGGCGTTTTCGGGTCGGATCGACATGATATTCAAGGTGCAGAACGGGTCGAAGACCGTTGCCCGGTTCGAGGAGTATAGGGAGAGCGTTAAGGCGCGGTGCCGGGCCGGGTCCAAAGGCGGCGCCCAGTGTGAGGAGGAGAATGTGCGGTGCGTCGCTGACGGAAACGAGGTCATGCGGTTTCACTGCCTGGGGCCCACCACCTCGGGCTTCGGGGTCTACGACACGTGCGGCAGCGCGTGGGGGTTTCACGGAGGCAAGGGCAAAGCGATTTGCACGTTCTCTGGTAGCGGCGTGGCCCACGAGAATGCGGGTGCGGGTGGTTCCAGGGGCCGGAGGGCGATGCTGGTTTGCCGGGTCGTTGCGGGTCGGGTCTCGAAGCAGCTGGAGCTCGAGTCGTTGTTAGATGGCCGGGTCGGGTTCGGGTTCGACTCGGTGAGTGGGGACAACGGCGAGTTGCTGGTGTTTGACTCACGCGCGGTGTTGCCTTGCTTTCTTATCATCTATAAACTGTAAAATACAATGTTTCTTTCATCCTTTTTTCCGTTTTTTTTTAATTTTTAAAATTTGTCATGTTATATAATTTTGTGAGGTTTTGATCACATCTTGTTCTTGCATTTATCAACTCAATTTTTTTTTCTTCTTTTGTCTTTTTGGATATTTTGGTCTGATTATTGAAAAAAAAATTGAGTTGATAAATGCTTAATTAACCAATTTGCCGTTCTTATTCTTCTGTGATTAATGCTACGTCTCAGTTTAACTATTTCACTTATGAAATTAATAGGTTTTATTCCGTTAAGTCATTCAAAATTTCACTAGAGAGCTCTCACAGGTTAGGTTATTATTTTTTAGTTTGTTTGGTAATAATGTTAGTAAAATGATTTTCTAATCTATGATAAGGAAATTTGAACTTTAGTGCAAGGGACGAGCAAATTGCAGCCCAACCCATATCTACCATGAGATGATGTTAATCACAATTCACAATAACAATATAATCATCGAAATGTTTTCCAAATTTTAAGAATAGTTGAAAATTGGCTTTCTTTGAAAAAAGAAAAATGCAAAACGATATTGGGAAAGAAGGTTATCGAAACTTAAATATTTGTGCAATAATTCATTTACACGTAATTTTAACCCTATGGCAAAGTATAGAGTGAGCACTTAATCTAGTCTTATAACAGTCACCAAGAAACATAATGATGATGCTTATGGACTATAGGGTGTTACTTGCACTAGTAAACAATAAAATTTGTTCTTCTAATTATGATGGCAATCTGCTCCCAAAATATATATACTGATGGCAATGAAAATCTGCTCTGGGAATGTAACTTATAATCATATAATTTTTTTTGACTCACCATATTCATAAAATTTTTCAGTAATAAATTTTTCATTAGACATAATTACAATTGTCATCCATAAATTTACAATATCTACTTCAAGAAACACTTATATTTAGAGAAGAAGATTTCATAATAACAAGTTAGTTGGGAATACTCTAACAATGTTATATTCTAATCCAAATTCATTGGTAATGATTATAGACAAAGCATGCATTCAAAACTTAGCAAATTAGATCAGTCTCTATTTTATTTTATTTTTAATAAAGATGCTATCCTATTCAAGGGCATCTTATAACATATAACTGATTACGACTTCAGAACTAAGTATTTTAAATTTTTTTTAAAAAATATATTTTTTAAATACATAAAAGGCTTTTTATCACGAATGGTCCTTGAGGTTTGCTAAATTATCGCATTTCGTCCTTGACCTTTTTTTGTGACACTAATGGTCCTTAAGGTTACCCCATGCACATCAAAATGGTCCCTGCCGTTAGCTTTTGTGAATCTTTCTGTTAAAATGCTGATGTGGCATATATATGGGGCCACACATCCAATAATATATTAATAAAATATTTTAAAGTATTTAAAAACTAAAACATAAAACAAAATTTAATAAAATAATATTAAAAGAATGAAAGAAAAATTGAACTCCCCAAATCGCACAGATTTGAGAGAGAGAGAGGAAAAAAAAATTAACACGAACGACCAACCAGAGAATTGAAGAAGAAAAAAAACGAAGTAATCACAAAAGCCATCGCAACCCCCATCCTCTGAGCCCTGACACCCCACACCCATCCCTGCAGCACCTCCCTTCCGGCGTTCTCTTTCTCTCTGTCTTACATCTGGGTTGGGTGTGCGCTCTGTCTCAAACCCCGCTCCTCTCTCTCTTCCCTCGAAAAAGCACAGCCCCAGCCCCTCTCTCTCTCCTATCCGACACATCCCAACAGTGGATCTCCCCCTTCACCAGATCCATGGGTGTCTTGATATGTATCTGAAATTTGAATTCGAGCCTTTTAATTTGAATAAAATTTCAAATTCTAGCTAATTGGTTTGATAATACTGGAAATTTGTTTTGAAATTTGCATTTTGAATTGTCCATCTTGGCATCTTGAAAGGTGATGTTGCTGCCCTTTTTTCTTGTCTTTGTTTTTGGTAATATTTGCTGCCCAATTTTAATCTCTGCTGAAGTTGGGTAAGTTGAAAATGAAAGCGGTAACTCGAGCGACTCAACTCTTGGTAATCTGGGCGAGGTGGAGTTTGGTGGTGTTGGAGAGGAGAGCGGCGGTGGCGGTGGGTTTGCTCTGGATCGGAAGGCTGTCAGTCGGAGGAAGGTAGGATGGGGGTTGGCTGGGTGGGATCATGGGAGGTGGCTGGTGGTAGAACTGGCTGCTCATTTGTTTTTTTTTCTCGTTTTTCAAAGTGTTAATATTTATTTTCAAAAAAAGTTTATTTTTCTTTTTAATATAATATTATACTTTTTATTTAAAGCCATATGGCTCTATTCTATTGGATGAGTGGGTTCATATATGTGCCACGTCAACATTTTAACAGAAAATTTGACGAAAGCTAACGGAAGGACCATTTTGATGTGCATAGGGTAACCTTAAGGACCATTAGTGTCATGAAAAAAGGTTAAGGACAAAAGGCGATAATTTTGCAAACCTAAGGGACTATTAGTGATAAAAAACCTACATAAAAGCAATAGGATTCGATAGATTATGAGGTATGAAACAAATGCAAAAAGTTGGGCTATATCCTAGAGGATTAGGGGAGTTTCTCTACAACAAATGAGCGTATGGTCGTCAAACAACATAAGTAGCCTACTGCATCCATTAGAGCACCCAACCCCCTCTCCCCCACAATGGTCGTCGCCTACCCTTGCCTCCATTAGAGCACCCAACCACCCCTCCTCCGCTCTTCTCACAAATCCCCCTAGAATCATGCCCATAAAAACTACTTATTACAATCCAAAGGGAGCTGATTTTTCCACTCTTATTTTGTCCACTTACACTCTCTTTGTTAGAAATTGTATGTTCCCACTCCTTTTGTTCACTTACACTCCCTTTTTTGTTATAGTAAAAACTATTAAAAAAACAAAAGGGAGTAAGTGGACAAAAAGGGAGTGGGAAAATCAATCACCACCCTAAATAAAACATCAATAAGAAAATCTAGTGGTTCCTCAAACTAGCTAAGTATCTGAGCAATTTTGACCTCTTTGGGCTATATGCTCTAGAGGCCTCGTTTAGTTCAAGGTTTAGGAGCTTGGGAATGAGTTTGAAATTGTACTCCCATGTTTGGCAAGCGCACTCTTAAGAATGCAATTATGAACTCATACGTATGGACTTCCTATGTAGGGGGAATTTCATACCCTTGGCTGAGCTTGGGAAAATTTTTCCCCCCACTTGAGAAAGCATTTAATGCCAATTTTTATGACTAACTTACCCATATTCTATTTTTAAAATACCATGTTTTACCCTTAGAAAAACTCTTTATATTTCTTTCTTTGTAATAAAAAAAGGTTTAAGTGTATTGTTGGAAAACTGAACAATTTTTCATTCTAAATAATGCACAAATAAAAAATGAGAATGAGATAAAATGGCCTTTCCTCATCATCATTTCCCAATGTTTTGAAATTTGGGAATGAACATCCTCCATTCCCATATCATGGGATTAGTTCAATCTGCGAACCAAACAAGCACTAGAGGTTTTGTCTTGTAATTTATTTTTCGCATAAAAAATAATAATAATATCTAAGCAATTATAATTTTACATTGCTTTCAAAATTTTATTGTCTTATTACAAATCAAAACTAGAGAATTAAGAGTTTGTTTGATAAACATTTCATTTTCACTTCTTTTAAAAATTGAAAACTGAAAACATGTTTGGTAATATATTTTGTTTTAAGTTTTAGGAAAAGTGAAATCTAGTTTTTAGAATCACCCTTACTTTTTAAAACAACTTGAAAGTGTTTTCATTTTTATTTGTGCACATTTTTCATTCACTAATTTTACATCACCGCACATGAAATGCACTCCAATTACCAAAACTCAGTATTTGGGACCTTCGGATTGGACCCGGCCACTTGATTCTTGCGTTCGTCCGTGGACCTAGCCCAAGCCTTGGGACCTCCAGATCCAAAATTCACCAAAAGAATAATCCTAATTCCAAAAAATTCACTGAAAAATACTACGAACTCTTTGTAACATGTGCTTTCATTTTATGATCTCAAATTCACAACTTGACCCCATAAAATTTCATTTCCATGTTCTACATAAAATATAAAATTGAAAACTGAAATCAGTTACTAAACAACTTTGTTCAGTTTTCGGTTTTTGTTTTTTTGTTTTGGTGGTGAAAACTAAAATTAGTTACCAAACAAGTTTTTAGTTAGTTTTTTCAAAAAAATTAAAACTAAAAATAGAAATGACTATCAAACGGGCTCTAAGTCGGTGAAAAACATATTCACCAGCAACATGCATGCAAGTCTCAACATACTATGTATTCTACATACACATAATAAGGGAGAGGCTATTATACATATCCGGCGCATATGATATTTTTTCAGTAGGATTGTAAAGATAGAAATCTCACTGCACCTGTAAGCAAACACTTAATGTCGATACCAAAATTTTCCAGATTTGATTAAATGTGTTAGAAACTGAAACGACAAGCAAATGAAAAGCATAGATGTGTTTTTATTGCATTAGAAGAAGCGGTAGCTGTGTTGTTAGGTTTTAAATTTCTGTTACTTGGTAAGAGGCTTTACATTTGGTGGTGTTGTTGAAGGATGAAGAGAAATCCAATAAAAGAAATTTAGGATGATCAGTAGAAGTCAGTAGGGTTTCTTGGGTCCATAGATGTCCTTCTCAACTGCCCAAGCTTTTGGTTAATTTGGCAAAGTACAGCGCAAGTCACGCAACTGCTGCTAAAACAATACTTGTCTTAGGAGAAAATGAAAGGCTTGGCAAGGGTGGTGTATGGTCACAATCTATGATGTAAACCTTGTGACCTATAAAATTTAATTCTACTTACCAAAAAACTCTCTTGCCCCCATCCTTACGTATGTTTTCGAAGTCAAGCAAAATAAAATATTCCATCTACTAAACCACATTGATTCTGTATTCAAAAGAGTTGAAAATATTCTCTATGGAAGAGAGCCAAAAACAAATGACAATTTGCCTTGATGTAATTTGACTTGGACCAGGGTGTTCCTATTCGCATTGGGCCATGATGACATATTGGTTTTCTTGAGACCACATATTTTAAGTGGCCCATGAGAAAACATGCTCAGTTCATACAAAGTTGAACACAATAACTTTTGATCTAGTGATGAGTGATGGATCAAGCTAAAAACATTACTACAGCTGGATTGGGAATTCAGATATGTTGAACTTGTATGAACCTCAACCTGAGTTTGATCATAAATTCTCAAATCAAGGTCAAACTCCCTCTAGCTTACCCACTCAGATTTCAAGTTTGCTTCAAGTGCAAGAATCACTAAGAAACAATGCCTATATATACGGCTCTGAACTGAGAAACAAAATGAGGGGGTTACATAAAATTGAGTTCATGGAAAAACAAAGAAAATGAGTCCTGCAGAAGTTTTCTCAAATCGAACGGTTTCCATAATTCAATGCTCTATGCTCTACTAGTATTAGCTAAAATGAAGGGTCTCAGCAACCAAGGTTTATCAAATATCATTAATCATTGAAACAGGGAAAATGGAATGGCTAGGGTGAATCAAATCAGATTCCGGATATGGGAGTAGCCCACAATGTGCATGTTCCTCATGCAGCACCGACACAGATGAATCATATAGTCTTTTGCCAGGATCAGTGGTATTCAACTAGTACATACAATGGCTTGCCGTTCAATCGCACACGACCCTGCAACATCGGGAAACATGAAGTCATTGGCAATGGTGACACAAAACATAGCAATGCAGAAGGGCCATAGGGTTCTTTCTTTCATATTGTAATCATAAAACTGAGGAAAGCCGAGAGCTAAACCAACTCACCTGTAAATCTGGTAATTCAATTACACATGCACATTCAACTACTTCTGCTCCAACACGTTCTGAGAGGAAACATTTAATTTTACCAAATCAGCACTAAGGTCTTACAAGCATCCACAAATTTAAAGTATGTTGAAATTTGCCAAGGAAAAAAGCAAGCAATCCAGAAATCCTGCCCCCAAATTTAATACAACAATTAGTTGATTAAACCAAAGAGAATTTTGACGAATATAACATGCATACTTAATAACCTAGATGACAAAATAGAACTTCAAAGAATCAAAAGACTACAATTCAATAAGTTTTCTCAGAATTTAGACTGACCACTTCTAAGTTCTAACTAAGCAAAATATCATGAACCAACACAGTACTAAATGAAAATTATGCTTTTCAAGAAAAAAGCCAAACATTTGAAACAAAAAAACAGAATAGAAACTTAATTTGAGCACAGCTTGGACATCTGAACTGAAATATGAACTTGACACAGATCACCAATGGATGCACCGGTGACTAGTCCCATATAAAACATCAATTCTTCCAATATTTTAACCAACAACTTGTTTATAATACTAAAACAAAGTAATTACCCAATAAATTCATTGCAGCACAGAGTGTGCCTCCTGTGGCTATTAAATCATCAACCACCAGAGCTCGCTCACCAAGTTCTACTGCTCCAACATGCATCTCAAGACGGTCCCTTCCATATTCCAAAGTGTACTCTTCAAAAATAACATCTCCTGCCACCATGGAAAAGTTTTTCAGCAATCCTATGATTAGCCACAACTTCAAAGATGAGACTTAAAAATCTCAAGAGGAAAAAGAGATTCAAAACTATACGTAAGACAGCCCTCTTAAATGTGGTTCCCAAGGCACATAACTGCATGTCAGATATTAGAACATAAAAAGTTAAAAATATATAAGTTCCGAAGTATCAAGAGCATCATAAACTATCTAGACAGTATACAGCCCTAAAAAAAACAACAAAAACACATAGCTCTGTAGTTCACTGAAGAAATAATCCCTATATAAATACGGCATGGTGGAAGACATGCAAGGACTGGAGAGGACAGAAACAGATATATTTTAAAGCCAGAATTGGACAACAAAACCACACTAGAAGCATGGAACATCATAAATTATCAAGGACTCATAGTTTATATCAAGGCAGTTCCAACTTCCAAGCAGTGTCTTCAAGCCATCATTCATCAAGGGCCCAATTCATTGGCATTATAATTACATCCTCTTTTACACAAAGGATACACTGGAGAAATAATATCCCTTGAAATGGTGGTCTATAATATGCTAATCAAGCAGAACTGTCTTGTACTTGATCAGAAAGTCAGTATGTGGCATCCGAATGTCATATGCGATTACTGTTTGAAGATAACTTTTACTGCAGACCATCACAACCTTTGCTATATTGACCAACTGTAATATGAACATACTATACATAATAGGACAAATATGTTCACATACAGTCAGTGATACCAAGAGATGTAGACAAAATATCTAATAGGATAAAAATTACCAGGCAACTTCCTGGGCTTTCTCAGGGGAACAAACTTTGCTCCTATTGCCAATGCAATGGGAGGGCCAAAGATAAAACCTCGAGCCTCAATTCCTGAAATAAATGAAAACGAAACCTCAGATTTCAGAACACCATAAGGGCTACAGAAATGTTTTCTACTACCACATAGAACTTGAGACTTCAAACAATACAGGGTTATCACTATTCACTTAGAAAAGGCCACAACAAACATAATTTATGTGTCGATCACTCTGTTACCAGAGCAATAAAAGCACAAGCATAATGCCATGAAAGGAGACAAATAGCAACACTTTTAACATGAAAATGGGAATGGGAAGTAAAAAACCCGTTTGAATGCATCTTTAATGTCAGGTTTTTAAGTTTCCACTAGGATACAGTGATCTCTAGACAATGGTCCAAACAAATTCAGGTTCTCAACTCGTTGGACTGCAATTTTATTGTCAGATTTAAGTTTCCACTAGGATACAATGATATCTATAAAAAGGTCCAAGTATATTTAGGTCCCCAGTGTTGGGTGTAGGTGGCTTGATACAAGCCATGTGTAAGTTCCACATTGGAAAATACAACAATAATCTACAGTTTAAATATAGGTGGTCCACTCCTAATTGCAATGAGACCTTTTGTGATAAAACCCCGCGCCTAGAGGTCCATTGGGTCTTCTCTCTCCTTGGTGGTTAAGGTGGGGACAATCTCGGTGCATGATTTGGACAGGTAGTGGGCTCCTATTGGGCCCATTGGTACAACACTCAGCTCAAAAGAAACAGTAAAGGACATATATTTAATTTAAGTTTCCACTAGAATACAATGATCTCTAGACAATGGTCCAAACATATTGAGCTTCCCAACCTGTTGGACCGTAATTTCATTTTCAGGTTTTTAAGTTTCTACCAGAATACAATGATATCTATAAAGGTCCAATCCAAGCGTACTTAGGTCCTTGACTCAAAGAAAAGATTACCATATTCAGGTCCTTGGCTCCACAGAAACAGCTAAAAAACTTTCAAGGATAAAGAAAGATGTTGGTAAAAAGTTTATTATAAGAACAGAAGAAATTTTAAAAGAACGGCACTGAGCATAATTCCCAATGCATAAGAAATATGGAATCAAATGTTATGAGACAATAATGAAGGAATAAATAGGGAAATAAATCCTTCCAAATTACAATTTCAAATATAGCATAAGACTACAACTATGGAAAAGTAACAATGCTTTATGTCAAATGTCAGAGTCTAATGATCAAGGCTAGGACTTGGCTTCCATGGTTATCGAGGGCAACATAATACTAGGAAATATTGGTTCTTCTAATAGAAAAACTAAGCACAAATTAGAAATCAACTACAACATCAATTAAAATAACAATAGATACGGTATGCTTTTCTTTTCAAGAAGAAATACCACATCTTGTCCATGTCAGGGTGTAATTTGCAGGTAGATTCCCAAATAGGTATAAAGGCTTTCATTAACACAAGAAGACATCTTAAGTCCACAAATAGATAGATCCTAGTGTACACACATCAAGACAAAACATACATAAACAACTTTGGACCAAATAACTTGGGAAATGAATATAATAACTGAGAATCAAGGCCCATCAATAATGAAATGGAATTAAATTTTCAGCTGTGTAGGACCTAAAGTGGTATATTTGGATACCTATTATAAGTTATGAATGAAATAGAAAGCATGTGGATATATAATCGATTTCTAGTGAAGTCAATCACGATTAGATTCCTTGAGGCATAAATGTGACTTTTACCAGCTCCACAAACACAAAGCTTAATTTTCTTCATAATCTTCCACAATGTAATATTTTCAAAACTAGTAGGGCCAAACAAAAGAAGCTTAATTTTAAAAGGAACTTTCAATGGTTCTTTTATCAATCTTTGAAAGGCCAAACACAAGCCAAGACAGCAAAGATTCATAAAACAATTACAGTAAACAATTACATCACAATAATAAATTCCCACAATGCACGGCAACTCAAGGACACAAGGAAGGGCAACAACATAAAGAGAAAATAAATAAGGGTCAACCAACAGTAAAGTTGGAAACCCACATTATAATGAAGCCAAAAAATTCGGCCCAATTGAAATGGGGGTCCACTTTTAACAAGGTGGGCATCATCACCAACCACCACCATCCACGCAAATTGGACTCAAGCACATAGCCGCAAGAGAGAGAGAGAGAGAGAGAGAGAGAGAGAGAGAGAGCAAATGTGAGGAGCTGGAGAAATTTTTTTAAAGGAGAATAGAGAAAAGAACTTCAGAGAGAGCCATCAGTGGCATAACGCACTAACAAGGCTTATAGTCAAACAAAAAATCACTCCCAAAAACCCAGTGTGACTTCCATTCCATAATTCCCCTTAGAAGCATTCAAAAGGGCAAGGAGAAACTTATGCAATATTGAGAATTTCTGCATAACTCAGACCTAATTTTCTTGTAAGCATGGACCCACCACCTTCAAGCTAATCACTGTTACAAAAAGTTCTTTAAAAGCTTTGGTCCTTTGGCTCAAATGCACAAAACCTTTAAACCCCAGTTCTCCAACTAGTCCTTAACAAAAGAGAATTTTAAAATTTTAAATATATATATATATTCTCTTTATTTTTTTTACCTGCAACCACTGAAATGTTTTTGCCTTTGTATCTCTCAACGAACAAATCGATTGTGTCCTTGAAGGCTTTTGGGTCCAGCAATAAAGTTGTGATATCTTGGAACATAATACCTACACAGTGTGGCAGTTGCAGGACATGAACCAAAAACAAAATAAGCAAATTTCCAACAGAGAAAGACAGAACAACCACAAGAAAAAAAGAATAAACAATCATTTCAACTGTTTGGTATGAAAAATAGAGGGGAAATGAAAGGAAACCAAAAATGAAAATTTTCATTTTTATCACAAAGGCCATCACTTTTTGCACTAAAAATGAAAACCCACTTCAGTCAGCCCTCATAATCAGGTTTTCATGACAAAGATACAACATTTTTTAAGACAACTTGTTGAGTTAAAAACGAAAACGAAAAACTTAAATAGCGCCAAATTTTAGATGAGAGAAAAAAGAAGAACAAACCAGGTTTGGGGAAATTGGGGACGACCCGAATTTTGGTTTTAATGCCATGGATGCGAGGATCTTCATCTTTGAAAACCGACATTGTGGTGTATGCAAGAGACCCAAAAGAACTCACTCTTTGTTTCTTCAAGTTTCCCTGACCAAAACCCAGGTCAGAAAACCGCTCTGTGTGTCTGTATTCCAGCAGAAACAGAGTGACAAAAATCTGAGAGAGGGAGAGATAGGGAGAGGGAGAAAGAGAGAGGGAAGCGTGGGCTCAGAGATAAGAGAGAAGTAGTATTTATAGAGTGAGCAGAGAAAGTGTGCAGCGTGTTTTCAGTTTTCACTTTCCGAGAGAGGGAGAGAGAGGGATGATGATGGTAAAAGGTGAAAAAGAAAAAACAGAGGAATCACGAGATCATCCAGCCAAACACGCCCTTCTCTGTACTAGTAAGGCGCGGCTGTCTTTAGGCCGATTTCGCGCGTTTCTTTGAGTTACTGACTTTGTGAAAAAGACTTCACGACTAAAATATCGATAATATCGATAAAATATCAAGGATATTATCGTTTTTTGGGTCTATGATATTTTGGAACATATTCATACACATATCATATAAATATCGATAATATCAAAAAATATCGATGTCGATAATTTCTCTCACACTTCAACAACATTTGACCAAAAAGGAATGCTAGCACTCTTTTGGATGTTCTCTCTTTTCTTCTTGACATGTGTCACTTTCCTTACACTTAAAATTATGTCATTAATATATCACACAAGCTAATTTTTGTTTTCCAAATTTACCCTTATTAAATGTATTGACATTTTTTTTCAACAAGCTAGCCTTTTTACATCTTTGTTTCCACCTTGTTAAAACACTAAATAAGAAAAAAAAAACGTAATTTTTTAAATATAAAATGTCAGTTTTTTTTTTCTTTCTCCAAAGAAAACAAACGTTGCTAACATGCTAATTTTTGTTTTAACAGACGCTTTATAATTACCGTGAATATATTGTTGCTAATAAACTATTCTATCATTTCTTATTTTTAAAATCAAACTTTATTTGTCAATTGATATTGGTAATGTTTATCTTCCGCTGTTTGGTATTATTGATATTTATCGTCTATTGTTATGTTTTCTTTTCCTTATCTTAGCATTTAACTACTTGCTATGTTTAAAAACATGACGTTATGTTCCCATTGGAAGAAAGAAAAAAAAACTGGCGTGTTTTGTTGAATTTTTTTAACAAAGTGGTAAGAGAGTTGTCAAAAAAAGAAAAATCAATACATTTAATAAGGATAAACTTGGAAAGTATAAACTAGTTTGTATGACACATTATAGCATTGTTTTAAGTACAAAGAAAGTGACACATGTCAAGAGGAAAATGGAGAAAGTCTAAAAGAGAAGGATAGAAAGAAGGTTGCTAGCATTCCCCTTGACGAAAGTATCGCTACAATATCAATAATATCACTACAATATCAATAATGTCGAGTTGATGAAGATTGTAAAAAATTTGAAGAGTTATTTATACTAACACCCATGAGGTTTCTTGTGTTTTCACAAAATCCCCTCATATCTCAAAAATTACATGAACACCTCATGAGGTTTTAGTTTCTTTTCACAAAAAACCCCTTTTCGTTGATTTTTGTCCAAAAATTGATGATTTCATTAAAAGAAAATTTATATACAAATGACAAAATTAACCTTAATGAAGTATATGCAATTTAATCTCAAATGCCAACTTTGTCATTTGGATAATTTTTATTTTATAAAATCATCAATCTTTGGATGAAAAATCAATGAAAATGAGTTTTGTGAAAACAATTTAAAACCTCAGGAGGTGTTCTTGTAATTTCTAAAACCTCAAGGAGTTTTATAAAAAAAGCAGAAAACCTCTAGGGGTGTTATGTAAATAACTGAAACTTGAACCTTGTAAGAACTCTATGTGATACTAAGGGCAAAGGAGTGCTTTTGGAGCAGCGAAAAGTGTTTCTAAATGGGTAAAAGCGCTTCTGTCTTTTAAAAATAGTGTTTGGCAAAAATTGCAAAAACGTTTTGGGTAAGATCCAAAAGCACTTGGAGTAGTTTTGGAAGAAGCACCCACTTGAGAGGTGCTTCTTCTTAAAAGTGTTGCAAGACAAAAACACAGGAAGCATTTGGCTCCCTTTAATGAAACTTTTAAAATACCAAAAATACCCATATTTAATTTTTTTTAAATGCCAAAATACACTTTCTTTCTTTTTTTCTCTCACTCTTTTTCAGATTTGGATCATCATTGCTTGATCAGCTACCCGTCTTCCAAATTCCAATATTTATTATCCCTTCCTCTTTTCTCATACTTCCTCTTCCCTTAAATCTTTGCCCACCATCAGAGATTCAGCTATGAACTCGATTAGCATTGAACTCCTTGTTATAAATGGGAAAAGGTACCAATTAGTTACAAGTGTTGTTGGTGTGGTCAGCCTCTCTTACCTTGTTGACATTCACAATCATATGGTTAACGATTTTGTGTAGAAGATAGGACAACTGGGCTGCCTCCAAAAGTGTTTAGAGTTTAGAGTCTCAATATTCTTTATCTCCTTAAGTTTGTAGCTTCTCATTTGTGCCTAAATTGATTTGCTGCAGTAGATTGAGCATGTAAATGTGCAATCGTTTGTTTATTGGCTTTTTCAAAATTTTGAAGTTGCATGTACCATTAGAGATCTCGGTCTGTTTTTTTAAAGTACTTTTAAAAGCGCTTTTACTGTGTCAGCCAAACACTCAACAAAATATAAAAAACGCTTTTATGTAGTGTAAAAGCACTTTTAAATATGACATCCAAACGATAAACTGCTTCTTTGTAGAAGCGCTATTGATATAAGCGCTTTAGGAAGAAGTACTCCCAAACGAGCCCTAAGTCACTTATGTATCTTACCATGCAATGTATAAAGTGTAATATTGTAGTAAATCAATATAAATAAATGATTACGGCGTGTTTAATCTTCTTTCATTGATTACTACATATTTTCTACACTCGCAATGTTTGTCAGCTCACTATATAATCAACTTAAATCAGTTAGACCCATCATGCAATGCATTTCCTTTCAATTTTTTGTGATAAAGTAATAGATAATTGACTAAATAAACATCCTCCAAAGTTTCAAGAAAAATTTCCAAGTTTTTATTATAATTTCCATAGTTTTTATTCCATTTTTATCGATATCGATAATTTCCTGATATTTCCATAGAAATTTTCGTGTTTTTGAACTACCGATATTTTCGAAACCATCGATATTTTGTACCTTAAGATATTTTTTTTAACACTAGTTAGTGATGTTGAGGGAGGGGGTTTCTCACACACACTATCAAAATATAATGAGGATTCAAATTTGAGACCACTAATTTGCATTTTTCCACTGAAATAGACCCCATTTGCCACAACATATATTAAATATGTTAAATTGCAGTAATGATTTCTGTAGTTTATTTTCATTTTCATTTTTAAATTTGAAGAAAATTTATGAAGGCATTTGATACACCTTTCTAAAACTTTGCATGATTAAAAATTGAAATTTTTTATGAAGATCACATTCATACACCATCTTGTATATCCCTCTAGAAAGGGACTCATTATATTGGTGACAATTTAACTATAGTGACATTTATGATTTCAAATGGTTAATTTCATTCTACATCATCAAGTGTACATGCATTCTTCAATTTAGTAAAAAGTCAATAAAAAGAAGTTTTAATTGTTTTAATTAAAAAAATAAGATTAACTAATTCAAATTGTTAATTTCATTCTACATAATAAAGTTTACATTAATTTTTTTTTTTCAGTCCAAATATGTTACAGAAAGTCTTGCAGGCTCCATTTTCCCTCAATTCTTTCAAGGTTTATCTCCCCATGCATAGCTACAATGTGTCAGAGAAGAGAATCAAGCCCTAAGCAGGTTCATAAAATCCTATCTGGCTGCAAATCAAATCCCTCGTATTTCTGATGAGAGACATAGAGCAATAGTTATCGAAAAGTTTGGAGAGAGGTGAGCCAAAGAAAAAGACCTTAATTTCTCAAGCCAACCATAACTTTTTGGATCTGTCCTAGTTTCTTATAAAATCTTTTTAGTAGCTAGCTCGGATTGTGTACTGGTCCATTTTATTAGTCCATTTGATGAATATGTTATTTCAACATCCAACTACAGTTTGCATTTGTTACAAACCATAACTACAATATTGGCCAAAATGGCCAACTTGATATGTCATTAGCTAAGCTATTATTAATATGGGGAGGGGACCCTAGCTACTTTGAAATCTAAGATAAGGTAGCGATAAAAACTGTGAAAACAAGCAGATATAAATGTGTTTAGCCAGTAAACATCATCCAGAGTCTCATGCATCTTAGAGGCATGTGAAAATGTCATTGTCTTCTCTAAGCTTTGTTTGAAGATACAAACAACGCATTTTAGGAATCTAAAAATTATAATAAATTAGATCTTGAACTTGATGAGTTGGATTCTAATCATGGATTTTATTAATAGAAACAAAAAATGATGGATTGCAGATAAAGAAAATTCAATTTAGGCAGGGATGTAGACCCATTTGTATTCTGCGTCGTGCTCATGTGCACTCATTTGTTAATTGTTTTGTGTCATATCAAATATCTAAAACCTAAACATGACACGTCCCATAGCCTTGACCTCGTCCCATTCCCATTCATGCTCGTATCGTGTTTGGTCATGTATTAAATGTTCTAGAAAAATGGGCCCAATTTTATTTGTACTTTTTAGTGTTTGAAATTTATCAAAGCTAAATAGGTCATCGTACTTAGTTTGGGCCCTATTTTGTGCTTGTAACGTGTTAATTTGTTAAGTCTCGTACCGTAACGGATAACGAGATATACGGGTAAGTGATGAACTTGTTGATTTAAACATTGTAAATATATAGGACATTTATATTCGTTTGGCACAATAGTAAACCGTGATGCTTATAACTTCACCAGTTGAGTATTTACTCTACAATAATATTAGGCACACCAATTTTTTTTTTCTTTCTCTTAACTCTTATCCAACTCCTGTATAGGATGTGTGAACCATGAGATTATCCAATCGTATGTAAAACTCATGTAGGACCCATTCTATGTAAGGCAATTGAAATAAAGAGTTAGGAAAAAAGTTGGTGAGTATGGTATATTATGATCATCTTTTTTTTTGGGTCAAATATTATGATCATCTAAGAGTGAGTTTCATATAACTTATCATGATGTTAAATATAGGCTTAATTATGTACATGCCCCCTGTGCTTTCCAACTTATCTCAGATTACCACCTGTGTTTGCAAACGGCTCAAAGTACCCCCCAACGTTTAAAAAACCGTCTCACGTTACCCTTTCCGTCAGTTTTTTTGAAGTTTCGTTACGAACGTTACTGTTCATCCCCCCCAAAATTCCAAAACAGCAGCCCATCCCCTTTGTTACTGTTCATCGCTTATTTACCCTCCAAAACTCAGAAATTTCTCATAACCAACACAACTAGCAGCAAGAACAGCTCGAAAGGTTGAAAAACCATACCTGGATCGAAGCAAATGGTGCTCGGAATCGCCCGAACCAGCGATGGAGATTTTGGGTAAAAATCGGCCAATTTCTTGCTTTTTTCGGCGATCCAAACAGCGGTTTGTAGCGGATGAGATGTGAGGGTGGTAGAGGACAACGTGCTGATTCTTTTGATACCCATGTCGTCGCTTGGGGTGGCCGGAGGAGGAGATGGCAGCCCAAAAACTGGTCGGATGAACAGTAACAAAGGGGAGGGGTTGCTGTTCTGGAATTTTGGGGGGGATGAACAGCAATGTTCGTAACGGAACTTCAAAAAAATTGACGGAAAGGGTAACGTAAGACGGTTTTTTAAACGTTGGGGGGTACTTTGAGCCGTTTACAAACACATGTGGTAATCTGAGATAAGTTGGAAAGCACATGGGGCATGTACATAATTAAGCCTTAAATATATAACCTCCTAATCATCTATGCCACTAAGGGAGGCCTTAGTTTGGTCCGACGTATGTTCTTACCCCTTGTTACATTGCTAAATGTAAATCCCTATAATCTAAGAGAAATGTGGTTTTTTTAGGATTCTTATATCTAAGTTCAAAACATTTGGTTGCCATTAGGTCTAGTTCACATCTTTTTGCTTTTTGATTCAAGTCCTTTGACATTTATTCTTCAATTTTTATACCAATTTTGCCGCTTGAACTAAAAATGGAAATAAATTTTAAGAAAGTGATTTCATGCATCTTTTCCTCCTCATTCAAATTTTGACTTCTAATTTTTTTTTCCCTTCATAATGCACATACAACAATAAAAAGAAATCATCAATAAACAATATATCTATCTATGAGGTAAAAACCCATTTAACGAATACACAATTTTTCCTTTAACTTGTAACCTAACTGTTGAGGCCCAAAAAGTCATGAGAAGTCCAAAAACATTTAAATCCCAAAATGACGTACGAATTGGTCATGTATTAATTCCAATTATATTTTTGAGAATTAATTCGACATAATAAATATGCACGTAAGCTTTTATACAAATTCTAGTAGCATCCATGCCATGCCAAGCCAAAAACCTATTCCTTTAAATCTGATAAGTCACTAAGCTCGGTCACAAAACCCCAAGCCACTGTAATACATGCCCAAGCATTCCAAGTATATGCCAAATAACTTCATGCCAGACTAATACATTTTTCTATGCCAATCACCTACCAAGCTCACATGAACCCAAGTCATGTGACTCACGGGACTTGCACGAAGGGTTGTGGTGTGGAAGGTTACAGAGGTCCACAAGGCCCACAAAAGTTCTTGAGTAATAGAGACTTTGGACTAGCTATTTACGAGCACAAAAGTCCAAGCCCATTACTTGGAATTCTCCAATGTGGGTGAGCAAATGAGATATTCTTCAAGCACTCCCTATTACTTGGTGGAAACAAGCCAATTTTGACACTTCCTTTTACTCATAGGAAATAGTCATTTTCCGATACCTAACTTTACCTACTGGAAATAAAAATGTCTCAATTCTCTTTTTTACTCGTTGAAAATAAGATGGTTTCATCACTTCCTTCTACCCAATGGAAATAAGGGAAAACCCTTGCTTTTTATAAATTAGAAGCCATGACCCAAGGATAAGCCAACTTCTCTGGGTTGCTGCAAGCCTCTCAGCAACCATGAGAACCCACTTCTCAGAGTGGCTGCAAGCACCCCTGCAACCATCAGAGCACCTTCCTTTGGCTGCCGCAAGCATTCTAGCAGTCATCACAATTATTCCTCAACTATCAACCTTCATTTTTTGGCTACTACAAGCATCCCAGCAACTATCGACCCATTTTCTTGGCTGTTGCAAGGATCCCAGTAGCCATCACAATTATTTCTCCTACTTTCTAAGCCCTAAAATCCTTCATCTTCCCTATAAAGCCTCACCAAGCATAACTCCAAGCTTTTCCTTCCTCCTCATACTTTGCGAAGCTATAAACACCGTAGCCTTCAAGCCTCAAGCTTCTCCTTCCATTCTCATTCTCTTGAAACTCTTAAATCACCATAGCCAGAGTTTCAAACAACAAATTCTCAATACCCGAACTCACAAATAACCAATACCAAGCCAAGCACATGCATTCTCATTTCCTAAACTTATGGATCTTTAGATCCGACATTCCAAACTCTCATGCCAAGCTCATATAATTTTTGTTCAACATCAGCAAATCATCTTCACCCATTTTCAGAGATGCCAGAAATGTCAACACAAAATACGCAGCTACTGGAAGAACAACAAATACTACCCTAGGACTTGCTTCTCATTTAGTATGCTTTAGGCCTAATTCTCGCTAACTTAGAAAAATGGGGCAACAAATGCTTGATTCACCATTGTATGGTAGTCCAAGAATCAACAAACCCGGACAAACCTTCCGATGGAAAAAGAACCCAACACTAACCCAAAGATAAAAACAAAGAACATGTTATATATTATCTTACTAATAGGTACAACACATTAGATATAATGGTGAAGGAATGCATATATGTAGATATATATGTTGGTGGAACAATAGGAAACATGAATTTAATGATAATAATAATTATCAACAAAATTGTAATCATAAAATACAATAACAAATTTACATGAAATTAATGTAAATCAACAAATACAAATAGAAATACCGACAACTTTAGCGATTAAGGCTTGCAAGAATTGCAATGTCCTAAAGATAGATTTCGCTCCTACCCTTGTGATCCCAATTCTATAGGTGTCCATCTCCCATGATTCAACAATCGAGAATCCTAAATTGAAGCACTTCAATTTAAGACTATGTCACTAATAATATATTTGTACTCTCAAGACATTTAGGAAGAAAACTTGAAGATTGATACTCTAACATAGCACGAGTGGGGAAAACTTCTTTTCAACACCACACTGGCATGTCATACATATTTGGTTTATACATGCAAGTGACTTTTTGAAATAGTAAGCAATGGTGGTTGTTCACTAATTGATGCCACCCGTGCAAAAGGAAAAATGCAACTCCTCTAATTGAATTGCATTAGGTTTGTATGCTATGTGACTTTTCATATTTAAACTTACATATTCTTATTCATAGGTACCTATTAGATAGGTAAGTTAATATAAAAAGAAAACACAAAAATTAACCTAACTACTCATGCTAGAATATTACCTATAGGCACAACAACAAAAAAAGCTTATATTCAGGTACATTAAGCACAAAACATTTGCTACCTATAACCAAGGTGCATATAGACAAGTCATAAAATGACCTATAACTTATGTAAATAAAAAGACCAAGGCCTATAAAGCATCATACCTATACATTAGATACATAAAAAGGACAAATAAGTTAAGAAAGAATGCACCATGTGAGATACCCATATGCTAAAGCTAAATACCCAAAAATCCAAATCCAAATCATCATACTTTGCACCTTATAAAGAGGTAAAAACCACCATGAGAGGAACCCTCACAATCTTCTATGCGAAGAACATGTATATGCATTGGTCACTAAGTTTAGAGCTCAACTTTCAATTTGAGCATTTGTTTGCAATGTCTAAAAGTTCATTTCTCACATATGTGGTTGATGACTTCTTTATCATATGAGGTTCAAAAGAGGAATCGATAAACCTAATATAATTGATCGAGCAGTATGTAATTATTTTTGTCTTCCTCTCATTTCTTTTTTGTTTCCATTGTATCTATTGTTGGTTAGTCATTTTGATTAATTAAGCAAAAATTTCTCTATAATATGTGGTGATGGGTTTGCTTAATCAAGTAAGAACACATAAAAGTCAACCCTTAAATGATTAATCACAAGTAGGGATGGCAATGGGTCGGGTAGAGGCTGGGTATGACAATACCATCCTCGTCCCCGCTCTCCATCCACGCCCCCGTCCCTGAACCCATCCTTATTTAATAGGTTTTGGGGAATTCCCGTCCCCGTTCTCATCGGAGGACTGTCCTCCATACCCGCCCTGAATCCCCGATTTTTTTTGCATATAAAATATTTCTCATACATTTTAACATTAAGTTTCATATTAAATTATCATTCAACACATCCAAACTAACTATAAAGTTCAACTTAACTATTCAAAATCACATCAATATGAAATTTCAGAGAAGATTATGAAGAATTAGGAGAGGGAGATTAACTTAGGGTTAAACATAAATATTTATTTATTTAAATATAAACATATAATTTTTTTGGGTCAGGTTCAAGGATGGGGATGCTGATACCATCCCTTCCCCATACTTGTCGAGGATTTTTTAAGTTCGGGGATCTCCGTACCCGATACCAGTTTGGTCCCGAAATCTCCCCCCGTTAAAGTCGGAGACCCGCCCTCACGGGAATTTTTACCATCCCTAATCACAAGAAATATGGAATCTTATAATTATTGTCATAGATATCAGCATATTACCTTATTTATGTCCTTAAATTAAAAGTTAAAACCATAATAAAATTCATAGTTATTGTCAACCAAATCAATTTCTTACCCGTTTGATATCTCATGGGCAATAATGGGAACAATAAAATAATTTTAAAACAAAAAAAATTAATATGCCTACCTCAGAAAAATCTAAAAAAAAGGAATATAATCCATAAAAAAGCATAAAAATCAAAGGACTTGTAACAATGACAACAAATGTGTGGACTAAACCCAACTCTTGGTTGGATTTTTCAATTTTTTTTTTTTTTTTTTTTTTTTTTTTTTTTTTTTTTTTTTTTTGTTGAGAAATTCTGGGATTACATTCATAATTCAGCAAAAAAGACACTAGGCACAACGGGCCATTATAATAACGGAGTGATATAACATCAAAATTAAGACAATTTGGTGCGGCTCCATTAACAATCAAGCATGATTGAAGAAACTATGGCATAGGCATTCTAACTAAGATTGCAAACTCAAAATAATCAAAAAGAGATAAAGCTTGAAAAAACCAAGTCATAACAATACAAATGAAACTCTCACAAAGGAGAGATAAAAAACTCTCATAAAGGGGAGGTGAAAAGCTCTCATAAAAGAAGAGCTGAAAGCTACACAGAGAACCCAAAGTCTTAGCGACTTATTCTAAACATAAAGAAATCGCAAAAAAGATGGTGGTGGAGATCCGATGTCGAGATGCAGTCGCATGTGATGGTTGGAGAAAATCATAACAAAAAAGAAGGGGGGGGGGGGGGGGGGGGGGGGGGGGGGGGGAGAAAATGGGGGAAGAGGAGAATGGAGGAAGAGAAAACGGGAGATAGGAGGAAGAACAATGACTTCCTCCCCCCTTAAATTGAAAATGGCTCTATGAGTGTTTTTTGGGAGAAAGGGGGCTAGGGTTTCTAGAGAAATGTGGTTAAGTGATAATTAAACTTAGAGTGCTACTATTTCCACACCATATCCTATCTTCTCACCCACCATATAAATTTGAATTCAATCAAATTGTATTTGCTAATTATTAATAGTTGAGATATGAAGAGGATAAAGTTGTGTTTGACAGCCTAGATAAATGTTTTAGTTTAATATTTTGATTTTATGGATATTTTAGTTTTTTAATTCTCTGCCTTGTAGCTTGTGAAAATATTCTGGATAAATATTAAGACAAGTGTACATTTGAAAGGGTCATTTTCTATTGTGTTCCATTTGTGCATAAAAAGAAAAAGGTGAAAGGAATAGAAACAACACATTGCAGACCCAAAAAAATAGCAAAAATAATTGAACTTCTCAACATGGAATAAAATCAAACAATTGGGTAAATTTGTCCTCAAAAGTTATTTTACAAAGGGGTAAATTTGTCTTTAAAATTTTGAAGATAAGGTGGATGAGGAAATAAGAAAGGGGAGTGGAAATAACAGCACTCTTAAACTTATTTGTGTAACCAAAGTAAAATAATTAGGGCAATTTATCTTCATTCAACACAATAGTCAATTGTGGGGCTTATAGCTTTAGTAGTTGAGCCTCGTTTATGAACATCATTTCTTAGAAATTATATTTTACTAGTTGAGTATTTACTCCCACACAAACAACACTCGATAAATAAGAGTGAGTTTCCACACAACATAGCTTATAAATCCCCTTTAAACCTCTACGATCCTCCAAAAGAAACTGTTAGTGTGATTTGTGGACCATTGACTTTCCTTACCAAGGATTCCCATATTAATTGTAATTAATTTGTTTAATTCTTGATTTCCTACTATAAATAGAAATATGAATTTATTATTTTACTTGGCCACTAAGGCTCCATTGTATTATAAATATGACCACATGCAAGGAGAGGAATACACAGAAAATTCCCACAAACAAATATTCTCTCATATTTTAGTATGGTATCATAGCAGTGATCTTGGGATTGTTAATTCTAGTTTCAAACCCTCGCCACTGCCATGGGGGAGGACATTTTTTCCTTCTCACCCAACCTTAGCTGAATTGAGTACTCAAATGGCTCAGTTCCTAAAGATGCAGAACTAGACCTTGACCAAATTGAGTGCTCAGATGGCTCAGTTCCTAAAGATGCAAAAATAGACCCCCAACTCGATCCTCACTCAGGATTCGATCTCGACCCCGAACCAGATCCCGACCCAGGATGCGACCAAGACCCCGATTCCAACCCCGATATTTAAACAATTGATTTTCAAAAAGACCCAAATAGAAAGACAAAAACGTTTGCGCAGAAGCGATCGATCGTCCAACACCAACAATCAATCGCATCGAGCCTGGAACACAATGTTCTTTTCTGCTGGAAACTGACCAATTATTCATTCCCGACGATCGATT